CACAGTTGCAAAGATGTGGAATCAACCCAAGTTTCCATCAATTCATGAGAGGATTAATAAAATATGGTATATGTATACCATGGAGTATACTTGGCTATAAAACAAAATGAATTAATATCTTTTGCAACAATCTAGTTGGAACTGGAGACCATCCTCCTAAGTGAAATATCACAAGAATCGAAAATCGAAATCACCGCCAGGCGTGGTGGCTAATGCCTGTAATCCTAGCTCTCTGGGAGGCCGAAGCGGACAGATTATTTGAGGTCAGGAGTTGGAAACCAGCCTGAGCAAGAGCAAGACCCTGTCTCTACTATAAAAATAGAAAGAAATTAATTGGCCAACTAATATATATAGAAAAATATTAGCCTGTAGTCCCAGCTACTCGGGAGGCTGAGGCAGGAGGATCGCTTGAGCCCAGGAGTTTGAGGTTGCTGTGAGCTAGGCTAATGCCACGGCACTCACTCTAGCCTAGGCAACAAAGTGAGACTCTGTCTCAAAAAAAAAAAAAAGAAAAAAGAAAATCGAACACCACATATGCTCGGTGTTAAATTGGAACTAGCCAATCAGCACTCATGTGCACATATGGGAGTAGACCTCAATGGAAATCATGCAGATGGGAGGGAGAAGGATAGGATGGATGATATCATACCTAATGGGTATAATGTAAATTATCTGGGTTATGGACTCAGTTATAACTTTGACTCAAGCAGTACAAAAGCAATCCATGTAACCAAAATATTTTACCTCTTTAATATTCTCTAATAAAAGAAATTAAAAACATAAAAAGTAGAAAGTAAAAATATAAAAATAATTCAGTGACTAAAGCAGAAAATAAAATATATTTTCAGCCTGTACAACTTCTTTAGTCTTTAATTATGTGTATGATTCTCATATTTTCTGGAAATAATATCTCATTAAGGAAAATGGAAAACAATTCTTACAAAAATATTCTTCTATTTAAACAAATGTTAGGTAAACCTACAGTTTTTGACACATTGTTTTCTTCAGGCAATTATGAAAATTGCAAAGCAGAAGGTGATTTTAGTAAAATTAACAGAAAATAATTGGAATAATGTATTATACAATTTAGAAATAATTGCTGGAAATTATGCTATGGAAATTCTCAGACTAATGGTTTATAATTTGTGACCAAATTTCAATATCTCAGTAAATCCCTATGTTACTTTGTTAGACAGTACTACCTAAGATAATCAAGTATAAAACTCATTTTGATGTGTCATGTGATGTTCATCCCTGTTATTCTTTGTATCCATTTTTTCTATCAGTTGAATTCATTTTGTACCATGAGCCAATGTCAGGCTTCCAAAAATTGTATACTACATACTCTCCTGTGGTTATCTAGTTGCTAAGCAACTAGACTCTGCTTGAGGGCAGAAAGGTTCTGCCCAATGAACCTTGCACAATGAACCTTGAGGAAGGTTCATTGTGAAGTTCTATAACCTGCTGGGTTCATTAAAATAGGATAGGGGATCCTATATCTTGCTTCTGTTTGAAATTATAACTAAGATACTTCTACGTGTATCCTTATAAAATAATGGGCTTAGAACATGGCTGAAAATCAAAAAATCCTTATGGATACTGATAGTGTTTCCTGGAGGAAGAGGCAACTTAGTTTTGTGGCATGTCTAATGTAAAGTTCCCCCTTCAGAGTAATTATGTGTTACAATTTTGTGACTGGTAGCATGTCAAAGAAAAGATACAAAAACTTTGCCTGAATGTACACATATGATGGAACTAGTCTCACACTGTTTTGCAATTTATTTTATACTCAGCAATAGTGTCGTGAAACTTTCCATATTAGATAGGTAAGTAACTTTAATATCCAATGACTTATTAGTTTTTCAGTATATGAACTTGCCACAATTTATCCTAAAATCCCCTATTTTCCAATACTGCCAGCATTGCTGCAATGATCCTGTATACTTCTTATTTTTGTTGCTTTGATAATTATAAATTATCAAATTGATTGTTCTGTATCATTATATATTGTAGATTATCTGTATATAATGGTTATTTTGGTTCTTCTTCAAAACTCACACTTCCTTTATATCACTGCTTACTAATGTTAATATGTTCATCTTGTTCCTGACTTCAATGGGCATGGCTTTTGTATTTTACTTTTTCAAACAATTTTGGCATTTAATTTCTGGGAAAATATCTTCATAAGGCTTAAGAAGTTTCTTTTTATTCTTTAATAGTTTTTTTAAATCCAAGAATTATATATACACATATGATCATATATATTATTATTTCCCCTTTTATAGGAATAGCTTCGTTTATTTTGTTTATAATTAATTTGAGTTTAAGTAACAGAAACGTGACTAACAATGGCTTAAGCATAAAAGGTTCATTTTTCTCAAACCTACTGGTTCTCCAGTGAAATGATCTTACACATTCACACACACACACACACACAAATACACATGCACACAATATCCATGTGTTATCTACCAGTCTATTTCAATTTGTTAAACTGAAAGTTGAGAATCTTTCTAAGTTTTCTTTTTCACCCTCCATATCCAAATTCCAATTTTGATGTCTCTTGAATCTGTACCCTTTTTCCATATTGTGAGAACCCCTGTGTCAGTTTAAGCAGAAATAATTTCTTATAACAATACTCTGACCTAATTCACTGCTTTATGTTTCTCTTCTAGTTTATCTTTCACAGAACTGACAACAGAATCTTTTTCATATGCTTATTAAAAATGTTGCTCTCTTGCTTAAAGTCCTTCAACATATATCACCCTCAGGGCAGAGCTCACATTCCCTGACATGGGATACAAGGCCCTTGGTCTTGCCACTCGCTATCTATCTGCCTAGCTTTGTCTCCCATCAATTTCCCAGATGAAACCAAGCTGCTGGCTATTACCAGCTTGGCCACTGAGCTCAAAGCCTGTAGGACAGGCTGTGGTAACATGTTCTGAATGAATAAGTGGATGAGAGAAAGACTTCTGTAGCTTGTTCATCCCTATGTTAGGTTATGGTATGGTATTTCTGTTAAAATCAGAGGGAATAGGAAGGGTCTCTTCCTGACAAACCACTTTTCAATCTCAAGTGATATCGATAGCGACTTAAGTGTCTTTAACATTGAGTTGATGCAGTTTTTAGGTAATTGGATTAATAGCCCCATGTAATAGCAGAGAAAAAGTCAATTCTTCTTCCCATGCTAAGGACTCATTTTTACTACTAACATTTGACACACTAATAAGAATATACTAATGCTATTGCCTATTTACTGCTAGAAATGAAAGCTCAGTATCGACTATACCAACCTTAAAATAGCTGTTTTGGGCACATAGTGTCTAAAGTACCAAAGAATAATATTAAATCATTCGATCCAATGTGCAGATTTTTCCTGTTGTCTAGGGGGCACACTTTGCTGCTAATTAATTCTGACTGCCTAAAATCTTTAAAAGCAACCATTTTTCTTTAGTTTTTTATGGATTATTTATAAATTATACATTTAAAAAATTTCCATGATAAAATCCTATTTGCATTGTTTTATGGCTTAGGATTCTGGATTCTTGGAGTACAGACACTGGAACATATGCAGGTCTGTGTTTTGAAAAAAAATTTCATCCCTACTGTCAAATTCTCGGAGAGATACACTTGTCTTCCTTCTAAATGCCAGAGATGGTTGGCTTTATTGCAATAAAATATTGCTCTTGCAACTTACACATTTGTTTTATAAATATAGAACTTGATTTAGTCAATAAAATCATATACTCTCTATACATAAGCTATCTGAAGTAATTTATTGTCTTTGAAGGTTTCCTGTTAAATGTATTTCAGTTTTTGCATCACTGTGTTCAAAATTCTAAATCAGAAGTTTTGAAACTAAAGTCCCAAGTGGTTAAATATGTCCAGATGTCCAGATAAACTGTGTCAACTTCCTATGGAGCTCGTCTTTCTCCTCCTTGACTTAGTCCTCTTTCTATCTCAATAAGTAGCAATATTGGACTTGCCTATGGTTTGAAGACATGTACTAACAAAATTTAAATGATAATTTTTCGAGTGTTAGATCATTATCAAAGAAGGAAGAAATTGTACAAGGAGTGCAAGTGTTTGGAGATACACACAACTACTTTTTGTTTTATATTTTTCTTGGATGGTAAGATTTTTATGGATAGCAATTTATTCTCCTCAATCTTTAGATAGAGGAGTGTTAGAATACAAGTCAACAGTGCAAAGTACTAATTAATAAAAGAATAAAAGATGGATGCACTAAAAGAGAATGCTAAAGAAATTGAAAACAAAAGTTAAGTAAGATAAAATTGGATAAATATTTTGAACACTTAGGAAGAAACCATGGAAGAAGGCCTTAGAAAATTTTGTGTGATTGTAAATAGTTTTCAGTGATTAATGATGGCAGTCTTTGTATTTAAGAAAAAATATCAGGTAGACAACTTTCCGTAAATGAGGTGAAAATATTCATGAGGGTATTGGGCCCTTGTCAAATAATATCCTAAGTGGGAAAATTTAAATAACATGTGTGATAGCGCACATTTTTTGGTTTTCTGTAGCATTCTTGAGGAATAGTAATATGTTTCCCTTCTAAGGTTTCCTATCCATTTCAACTTTTAGTTTTTCTACTATAAGATTTGATAATAGATTAATCATTTTTTTCATATTTCCTTGTTTTTGTAGAATTGTGTTCTGATTTTTTATGATAGGATCCAGCTGTCCACTTTAGTTCAGGAATTCACAGAAAAATCAATTTAATATTTTTTATACAAGGTTGTATGGTCTTATTTACAAACCATAGCTATTCTAGTATTCCAAAATATTTTATTTCATTCAATTATTTTGGATTTGTAAGGACTTATCATGACCTAGCTGACTTAGAGATTTACATACCTATAAATCAAAGATAAACTACATGTTTCCTTTGTTTTTTTCATAATTTACTTAAAACATGCCAAAAGTTTCCTGTCATTTTACTGTGGTTTTTTGTTTTTGTTTTTGTTTTTTCCCCCAAGAACGACCCACGTTTCTCAGGAGGCCAATTAACCAGGTGGTGCTGGAGGAAGAAATTGTAGAATTTCGTTGTCAGGTCCAGGGAGATCCTCAACCAACTGTGAGGTGGAAAAAGGATGATGCAGACTTGCCAAGAGGAAGGTAAGAACATCATGTAGATGGAAAATTGTTTGATAACCAATGAATAATTACAAAAGAAAAAGACAGCCGCAATTCTGTCACCAAACACTCCTACGTCTTGGAGTATTATTTTCATACATGTGATATTTACATACTCAAGCCACATATCTGCTGTTTGGATATTAAAGTCCTCAGGCTTTTGATGTCATTCTTTCAATGTATATTTACATTAATGCTTGGTCCTTCACTTCATCTATTATCCCCAGATACCACAGATTCCTCAGGTGCTTTCTTTATCATGGCCCCTTCAAGGGATGCCATTTTGTTCCTGCTTGCCCACCTGCCCTGTCCCCAAAATGCTTCACCTCATGTTGGGGACCATTTGCCTTCCTTTATTGTCCAAAGCATCACTTTAAAAAGGCTGCTGAGCATAGTAGCTGATGTTAAGATCTGGAGTAAAGGAAAGATTGATGAGTCCAACATTGAAAATGCAGCAAGTAGTTGACATTCCTCTCCACACATGGGATTTGTCACACAGGGACCTCCTCTCACTTTCTTCGTGGCTATACGTCTTCATGGACACCTTCTCTTCTATAGCTTTCCTATTCTTCTCATCACAAGACCCTAAAACCCAATCTCTCAATACCTCTACAGTACCTCAAAATGCTTGTCATTTTTTATAAAAATAATTTAAACATTTTTGTTGTATAAATTTTTTTGTCTGAGACCTTGACTTTTAGTATCAAACACATCATTTGAGTGTTTTCTTTAAATTCAATGAGGAATTCTATCTTTAGATTTCTTTTGCCTTCCTCGTTATCCTACCTGCTGAAACCATAGCCATTCACCCTCTCTAATCATTGTCTGTATAAAATTGCACATCCTCCTTTTTTTCTAATCTTACTTTTTGTTAAAAAAAAAAAAATTAGGTTTCACTTAACTGATTGAAATTAAGCATGCTTCCACAGAGGCCATATACCTTTTGTGTGTTTCACCACTATCATTACTTTTCTGAATTTATACATAAACTTCAAAATCTCAATTTTATGTATCCCTAGGTCTGTGATAGTATACTTTCTTTCCAAAGTCATGTCATCAACAGTACTGACTGCAATGAACCAAACATTTTAATAGTCAGCGAGAGACCTTTTACAATCTAGAGGAATAAAACAAATGAACATTTTAATTCAGTTAGGTTTTCAGCCTACATTATAGAGCAAGTCACTTCTGTGCTCCTTTCATCGTTTTAATGCCAGACATCTATTTGGGTTTGTGAATGTGAGTTTCCTTATACCATCTTAATGGAGAAGCAGGTTAAATAGCAAGGAGAGTTTACAGAATTAAGTTGTTAGTGTCCATCCTCTATGTATAATCCATAACTTTTTTCAAATTTAAGAGCACATAATAGATAATTTTTAAATGTTAATGTAAGAATAGGAAAATAGTTATATTTTAAAATTTACTCTAGTATATATTAAGGTTAATTTTCAATTACTGTAAATATATATCTGTGTCCATTTAAAAGAATACCTTTAATTATGGAATAATTTAGCATTCATGGGAAAGCTACAAAGTTAGTACAAAGAATTCTGGTACAGTCAGCACCCAGTTTTCCTCACTGCTAACATTTTACATGACAATGAAACATTTGTCACACCTAGTGAATACGCATAGATAATATAATGAACACACATAGATATAATAATTAAATAAAGTTATTTTGATTTCACCAGTTTTTCATAAATGTCATCTTTCTGCTCCAGGATCCAATCCAGGGTATTTATTTAGTTAGGTATGGTAGGCTATTGGTTATTGCCTTTTGTTGTCATGTCACCCCAGTCTTTGGTCTGAGACAGGTTCTTAGTGTTTTCTAGTTTTCATGACCTTAACCATCTTGAAGAGAAGTACTGGCTACATAGACTCTAGAATGTCCCTCACACTTGAATTGGTCTAGTGTTTCCTCATATTAGACTGAGTTTATGGGTTTTCCAAAGGAATGTTACAGAGCTGACGTGTTCTTATAACGTTGTATTGGCGGTGCATGATATCCACGTAACAGCATGAGTGACCCTGTCAGTTTTAAAACATTAAACAAGATCAATTCAAAAAAGGATTGAAAAATAGAAAGTTGTCAGAGTGTGTTGTATTTTAATGTATCTATGTTTCTGAATTAAGGTAAAAGAAAACTTAATCAAGACTAGTTTGATTTTTCCCAGTGGACTGTTGGTCTCAGGTCATAAACTTGACAACATTATCTGCTATACTCTTCTCCAAATCTGGCCAAATTCATTTGCTTCAAAGTTTAAGCAAATGAATTAAATAATACCTGCATATCAAACAACAGTATTTAAGCCATCAGAATCTATGATATCAAGACCTTGAAGACAATATTGAAATTTTGAGAAATCGTACTTCCACTAACTCCTTGTAAAACATTTTCATAGCTTCAGAGTCTTTCTTTTCCTATTACTGGCTTGATTCTGCTGCAGTACTTTGTATAACCAGCTAAATGTTTTTAAAATATTAGGCAAATGGAAGTGCTGTGTAAGCTTTAAATTGTTATGTTAGAAAGGCTTAAAGCAAGGATCAGTGCAATACAGAAATTGAGGTTGGTATTTTTATCGTGATAGAAGCGTGTACTTTTTCTTGAATTCCCAATCTTTAAATGATGTTTCAAAGAAGCTTATTCCTATCTGGATTTCTATGTATTAGCATAAGCTTCGCTTATGCATAATGAGAGGGAAAGAGAGCTCTTTACTTGGTGAAGGATAACAGTAAAGACTTTTCAGTAACCACAGACTGAATCAACAACATTGATTCTATTACATTATTTAGGTCTCAGACTAGGGAGATGGCCATTGTTCTTGTATAAGCAATTGGTGTGGGGGATGACATTTCTTTGGCTTAACATTTAATGAAATTTGAATAAGGTTTGTGTAGTGGTTCATGCTTAACACATTTATAGTAAAGCTTCGTAGGGCAGCTGCATAGCCTGTAATTACCATGTAAGTAATATGTGACTATTTTTCTTTTGGAGACAAGAAAAGCTTTTCAATTCAAGTTTAAATTTATGAAATGCTGTGAAAGCTATTTAAACCTTCAACACAGAAGAAGATAACTGTGCCAACCTTTCAGGAACCAGAGATGAATTAAGGGAGTATTTTTTTCCCTTGCCATGAAAATATTTTTTAGTAGTACTTATGTGCCTCTTTCTTTTATTTAGACTTAAACTCCTGACCTTTTTCAGTAACTACATTTAATGAAATTACAATATACTCTTGGTGAGTTATATTAAAACGTTTTCTGACTAGATGAATGTTTTAGTAAGGTAAGAAGCATAGCAAGTCTAACAATAACCCTTATGCCCAACCAGGAAAAAGTTATGTGGACATTTTTTAAATAACCAAGGGACAAAATAAGAAGGAGCTTTTACATTATACATGTCACTGCCAAAGTATTAATTCATTGCAGTAACTTCTGAAGATATTACTGTTTCACAATTGAATATTTTAGGAAGCATATTGATACAGTGCCAAGTTTCACTTTTCCCAGAGGATCTCAATACATATGTGTTCAAATAAACCAACACTCACTCATCTATGGGGACAAGATTTTATATATCTATATAAAAATAAAATGAGTAGGGGAAACAAGAAGGAAGAAAAACATTTTAAAATAGTTTCCAATGATTATGACTATTAAAATGACTTTTTTGAAAGCATAATTTAAATTGTATAAGATGTACTTTCAGGCCGGGCACAGTGGCTCACACCTGTAATCCTAGCACTCTGGGAGGCCGAGGCGGGCAGATTGCTCAAGGTCAGGAGTTAGAAACCAGCCTGAGCAAGGGTGAGACCCCATCTCTACTATAAAGAGAAAGAACTTAACTGGCCAACTAATATGTATAGAAAAAATTAGCCGGGCATGGTGGTGCATGCCTGTAGTCCCAGCTACCCCAGAGGCTGAGGCAGTAGGATTGCTTGAGCCTAGGAGTTTGAGGTTGCTGTGAGTTAGGCTGACGCCATGGCACTCCCTCTAGCGTGGACAACAAAGTGAGACTCTGTCTCAAAAAAAAAAAAAGATATACTTTCAGGTTTACCTACATCTCTTAAGTGCCTACTGCATTTATAGCGCTCATTTTAAGCAAGTAAATGTACTGTTATCAATTCTTTATTTCTTTATTTTATATTAACAAGATTGGACAATGTGAGAAAGTATGTATATGCTGTATGTATTAAAGAAAGTAAACTGAAATAATATTAGTTTCTTCCTTGGGTATTACAGGCAAACCTAGAATGCTTTTGCAGGCAAACCTAGAATGCTTTGCTTATTAGTACTTTTTTGATGATTAAGTGCCTTCCACACATCTTTTAGAAAAGTGTTTTGTGTGTAGATATTGCAGGTATTTACTATAAATGAGATCATGTTACATCTTATGTCATGTTTCATCATAACATAAGGATGTTGTATATTTGTGTTATACCCACAAACTCTATGAAACTCTATGAAAAAATCATGTATTAACATAAAGAAACATAATATAATACATTTTCAACCAATGAAATAAGAAAAAGTTGAAATATGTCAACACTTCAATATTCTGTTCAATCTAACATTAATGAATTTTAAAAAACCTCTCAAAATTTGGATAAGAAGTAGTATGACTAATTTAATTATGATTTCTTATCTGGACATGTCAGGAAAGTTTGTATTTCAACTAATTATTAGCAGTTTTAAAGAACTGTAAACAGCAGATTTTATATCTTTCATCAATCACATGATTTTTAGCACATTACCAGTAGTTAGCTCTATGATCTTTTTATTCCATTTTTACTTATTTTCTAAACTAGCTCTAAAGTGACACTAACTTCATCTATAAGGACTATAGTAGAGAAAGGAATGTTCATGATAGCTTGTCAGAGGAAAAGGAAATAAATATGCCATTTACATTCTTATGTATGCCTGTAAATTCTAAATGCAGTTGATGGCTTGCACATAGTAAATAATCATGAATTTCATAA